TGGCCCCGGACCTTAGATTAGTATATGGTTCTTGAGCATCCTCTCCCCACCCCCAGCTGAGCGACAACTGCCACCAACAAGAAAGTATCTCTTGAAGATGGCTGTCTTCTTCAAGGAGACGCGCAGCACCCCGGCAGCCTGGCTGACAGAACCACATGAAAGGCAGGAAAGAGATCCGGGGCTCTCAGACCGTTACCTTAACATCTCAGTAGCTCCTGGGTGAGCTGCATTTGTTTCTCAGATTCCTTTTTGTTTTCTTCTTTATCTTCCCTTAAAAAAAAATAAATAAATAAAAAAGATTTGAGGGCTAGAGGAGGCAGAGAGGCTTCTGTGTTTCTGTGGCAACAGCCTTTCAGAGACAAGAAAGGCCCTCCGGCTTTTTCCTTTGGTGGCGGGCGACATGCCAAGTTACCACGTTTAAACCGCAGCCAGTAGAGGGGAGAGCCACGGGGCTGAGACCCGTGCAAAGTACTCTTCCTAAATAGCGTGGGAGCCCTCAACCAGCCCACTCGGCTATTTCTAAGAGGCTCCAGCGGGGGGGAAAGTTGCAAAGGTCTGGTTCAAGAGTGTTCCAGTAGAGTTTCTTTGTGGGTGAAGGAGAAAGAGGCTGTGGGCCCCGGGACACCCTTCGCCTGATTTCCAAGCATCACCATCCGGAAAGGCCTCATGACATGACTGTGGAAAAAAAAAAAGAGGGAGAGCTGGAGTTTCTGCCACAGGAAATGGTGGTTTGAAATGGGAGCACAGGTGATGTGTTGAGAGCACAGACACACACGTGCCTCCTGGCTCCCTTTTGTTATGATAAAGCATAAGCCAAGTAGGTCACCCCTGCTCTTCTCCACTCCTGCCTCGAGCCTTTCAGAAAGTGACCCTTCACTCCTTCTGAGAACTTCTTACATTTAGCACTCTGTTAACTTTTAACAAGAGGGTACCTGACAGTCTTCTCCCAGATCCATTCTTATGGACTCCAATTTAATCCAATTTAGTTCATCAAGTGCATTTTGAATGTCCTCCCGCCCTATATTGTACCAAGTGGAGTGGGGGATACAAAAGAGAGAATAAGGTACAGGGCTTACCTTCGTGAAATTTACAGTCACGGTGGGATTCTACAATTCACTAGATGGGAATATATCATCATATTAAAGAAACTGCTTCTAGAATTCCTCTTTGGAAGGGAACAGTATTTGTTTAGGATAGTACCTTAATAAATGCTAGAAGCCAGAAGGTGAGACCCCCCTAAAGGATCTGGGTGTTCTGCATGGGAAAGGGAAAGATGTTGCTTGTACAGAAATAGGAAGAGAAAGAGAGAGTCTGAGCCTGTCCAGTGGTGAAAGTTGCCTGGTTCACAGGCAATAGGAATCTGTGCGCTGCGACCCTTCAATCTTAAGTAGAGGATTTAAACCCACAAAATTCTTGGTGTAGGGTATTTTTGACTTTGTTTCTTTATTTTTGTTTGTTTGTGGAACTCCTTCCTAATGGAGGAACTGAACCTTGCACCCAACACAGCACATAGTAGAGCAAGTGAGGCTACAGAAACAAAGACTTAGAGAACCACAAGGAAATTCTTCCCAGAAATTATCAAAATTATGGGCAGCCTGACCCCAATATGCTTTAACAGTAACATTTTGTCCATATTTATCTAAATTCCTAAGGGCATAGAGGATCTCTGATGTTTAGTTTTCATATAAATACCATAATTAGAGAATAGCAACAAATGGATGAGCACAGAGTATAAAAATACTTGGGTCTGCTCTGCAGTTAGGGAAACTAGATCATAAACAAAGGACTATGTGGGGCTGAAGCATCTCTTGACATCAGTGAAGAAATTCTTTTGGACTTGACATCAAACCTATCTTCTTGTCCTTCCCATCAACCAACAAGAATTTACTGAGGACCTAATATGTACCAAGTGGAAAGAGAGCTGCAGAAGAAGTATAAGAGATGGTCTCTGGCCTTCTAGAACCCAATAGCTATTTGGGGAATTGAGGCTTGTGGAAGCAGTTGGTATTTATTGACCACATGAGGATTCCAGGGATTGCTCTGGGCACTTTCCATACATTACAATATTGGTTCCTTGGAGCCACTCTGTGAACTTATTGCTATGGTCATTTTTAAGATGAAGAAACTGAAGCCACAGAGTGTACAAGTAGCCTATCTGAGGTCACATGGCCAGAATCCAGTGGTAGACCCAGAATGAATCCATCTTTCCAGTTCCCAGTTCCACCACTGAAAATGGTCTCCATAGCAAAGATAATGCTGCCCAAACTCAAGTTCTAAGATACATGACACAAACCACAGGTGCTGCAGGAATCCCAAGGAGAGGGAAGAATAAGAACTAGGTTGTCAGGAAAGGTGACACAGAGGAAGTAAGATTGGTCTGGATGTCAAGGCCAGGCAGGCACGGTGGACAGCAGAAGGGGCAGGGGGAAGGAGAGTATGGGGTGGAGCCTGGGGCCAGGAATGGGCACATGTTGGGTAGAAGGTGGGGAAGGATGGGTTGTCTGCTCAGAGGGCTTTTGACTCAAGGACCCTGGGCATCACAGCCTGCCACTGCCTTCCTGATGGAGGCCCTGTCTCCAGAGGCTAAAACACAAACTGCAAAAGCTATAGTTTTCACGTCAGCCAGCTTTGCCACCAACTTTTTCTATGACTCCAGGTACACTGGTCTGAGTCTCAGTTTCCTCAACATAAAATTAATTGGTTGGGTGAAGTAAGCACTATACTATACTTCCTTTAAGGTTAAAAAAAAAAGTCTATGGTTCATATTTGTATCCAAAAAATTCCAGTATGGAATATCTTTCAGCACTGTGGTCAAGTTGTCTCTCAGATCTAGCTGGGCTGGCAGAAGCTGGTCATTTCTGTCATAGAACAAATGTCACAGATTGGTTTCATCCTCCTGATGCCCTGGAAAAGACAGAGAGGGCTGATGTTATATCACATCCTCAGATGCTCAGTGATGTGCCCCAGTCATTGTTATTAATAGTCCATGTGGGCCAGTGGGCAGCAGAACTGTCAACGTCAGGCACGAGGGAAGAGGAGAACGCCAGTAACTCAACAGGTGTTACTGATGCAACTTTGTCACCTATTATTTTCCAGTTTTAGAGACATTACCTTGTTTATTGGCTTCATTTTTTAAAAAAACTCAAATAAAATTTGGGGGAAATATTGTCTTTTAAGAGTATACAAATGGTTGAGGTTTTGTTCTCAAATCAACTATTGTTTTAGATGTTCCCAAAATACCTATAATAGAAGAAAGAGGAAATAGTCTCAAAATAATAAGTGCTACTTGTAACAATTTGCTGCATCGATTCCATAGGCTGATGAGGCACAAAGATTAGGCTGCTGGCCCTGTTTCGGGGGGTTTCTCCATGAGTCCCTGGTGTTGCAGCGTCTCAGAGATCATGAGCCATTTAGAGTGGTCATTCAGGGTGGAGCTGCTCACAGGGCACCTCCAGCCTCAGTAGTGATTCCAAATTTCGTGCTTTATGCAAATTCAGGAGTCTTTTTAGAGCTCTCTGCTTGCCCCTAACTTTTCAATCAAATCATATGACTGTTGAAGCTGGTATCTGGCAGAGTTAAAACATGTTTAATCTGGGAAAGAGAATCTATAATTAAGGCATTCACAAAGTTCAATAAGATTCCTTAAGATGACTTGATATGTGAAAGGCCTAGGAAGAAAAAGAATCTTTTCAAATCCAGAAGGCAACTTCTGGTTAGATACCATGTTGGAGGCCCACTTGGATCTTGCTGGGATGTCTTTTATGAATTCATTGAGACTTCAGTCCATATCTTTGGTCAACTCTGTAAACATCTGAATTGTGTCTGTGATCACTCTGTTCCTTTGTAACCCACCTCTTCCTTCCTTTCAATTTCCTCCCAATAAATCCATCCCAGGTTCAACTACACGCAGGCTTACTCCACAATCATCCTTATAATTTACCCTAACACATTAATGTTAACACCTGGTATTACACTCTTTAGAAACTTAGTGCTATTACTTTACTTAGAACCCTAGTTCTTTATGTCAGTCCCCACTGTTCATCATCCTGGTGCAACTTTGCTCAAGCCCATAGATCTCTGAAACTCTCCAAGAAGTCTGTCTTCAGTATTCAGCCACATTTCCAGTCCTAGACCAAGCGCTAGTTTGTGAGGGTCTTCATGCCTGCTTCCTTATCCATGAAATTGTAATAGTGAGTGTACCTTCCTTGTAAGATTGTTGTGAGGATTCAATACATTAGTACACATGATGCACTAAAAAATGTTTGGCCCATTGTAAGTGTTCAATAATTGTCTATTATTATCTTATTGAGCTAAATGTCTTATTTACTGAGGCAATAGGTCTCACTGACTGCTTTCCAAAGTGTTGCTCCTGGCCCCAAAATATTTGGCATAGAAAGAAAAGGAGAAAAAGCAGTAAAAGTTGTTTTGAGCCTGGGTGATTTGTACTGTAGGACTAATCTTAAGCACAAGAACGATTGAGAGGAAAAGCTAAATGCTTTCCTTTCGGTTCAGGTCTGGTGGGTTCAACACAGTTATTTGCATGGAAGAGCAATAATAGCACTATTATGTTTATTTTTAAAAAAGAAAAGCAGCTCTTCCTTCCCCTCAGTGTCTCATGAGAATAGCGTGGATGCGCAGTGGCAGCGCGAGGAGCCAGCATGTTCTGTTTACCCAAAACGGATACAGGACGGCATTAGAAATTCTAAAATAGGGAAACCGGGCAGAGAGGTTGACTTAGGAGAGATGCAGATAAGTTTAATCTTAGACATGTGGTAGTTGAGGTAAAAATAAAGCATTTTGGATAGAAAAATCTTTATGGAAATTAAGCAAATATGGAAATCTTCAGTGGTCTAAAGCAGATCTCTAAAACGGTGAAAAGAAATCTCCCTGGGGAAAGAATGTAGAAATAGAACTTGAGGCTCACTCGTCCTACTTCTGTGCGGGATGTTTTTAAACTCACAGTGCTTTTGAGATTGTCCTTTGACCTTGTTTTTTTTCAGAACCAAGTCCCCAGTGGGGACTGTATGCTGGGCTGTTCTTAGGGGGTGTCATTGGTGTCGTCATGATTCTCGAAGTGGTTATACTGCTGTTTAAAAGAAGAGGTAGGTGTCTGACAGTAAGGAGATTCTCCTCGGGCTCTCTGTGGTAAGCAGGCGCCTCTCCCTGTGAGCAGACTCGTTCTCAAGACTGTGGCTTTCTGCACGGGGCCGCCTTTGCAAAAACACCAAATAAACACATCCTGAGAACTTGCTCAATTCGGTCTACCTCGACATATCTTGATCCTCTCTACCAGGCTTTGGGAATAGAGAGAAGGGGCCACAGGTGTCTAACGTGGGAGACATTATTCAGATAAGTGTAATTCAGTGTGACTAGCACTGCAGTAGAAGTCTGTGCACGATGCCCGTGGGGTCCAGACAAGAGGCTTAACAGAGGCTTCACTGGGAGCTGAATTCAGAGAATTTTTGGATCTCGTTCAAAAAAATCAGTCAGGGAAGAATGAAACCAAAAAGGTCCAATTATTCCCCTGCAGTCTTGGCCTCTCCTCCCAGTGGTCCCATGATTCAATGTCTCAGGGCAACATGCTCCCCTCAGCCACACCGACTGCCAACCCCCGCCGCAGTCAGAATAAGAGCAGGGCAGGTGCTCCGGACAGCGTTCTCACCGTGAGGACAGAGCCTGCTCCTCACGCCACCAAGCCCATGATTGATCTCATCCTCAAGTAGGTCAGTGTCATCCACACGCAGCCTTCTCAGAAAAGCCCTTACCTCAGCACTCTGGGGTTGGTTTTTGCTTATAGAAAAAAACACCTAGATCTTAGCACAGCTGCCTACTTTTGTCTCATTTCCTCCATCTAAGAGTTAGCTGGGTAATTCAGACCGAAATCATGTTGACAGCCCAAGGGGCGGGGGTGGGGCAGTCAGACTTGGCTTGTACTATAAGGAAATGGTGAGATGCCAGGGATGGGAAAACTGGGCTTAACTTACCCACATCAACCCATGCAGCAAGGGTGCTGGGATCCCAGCCCATGCTCTTGCCTGAACTACACCCTGCTGGTCACGTGGTTGTGCTCCGAAGGGGATGGTGGTCCCATCCCACCACCATTCCCTACCAGCTTCCCCTAAAATTTATATTGAGTTGCTATACCCACCACAGAACTTTGCTCGAGAGACTCCGTTGACAGCTTCTAATGGTATCGTCTCCAGAATGCAGCCTGACTCTGAAGGTTTTGAAATTGGCTCTCTGGGAATTTCATGTCCAAGAGAATACACTGGTTAAGAACATGGGCTTTGGCATTAGAGTCAAAAGCAGACCTTGTCACTGACAAGCTACGTGACCAAACAAATGACTTAACCTCTCATCTGCAAAATGGGGATAATATTCAGCACTTCACGGTACTCTCGTGGGGATTGCTGAGTCCATACATGGAAAGCACTGAACACACTGGCTTCCACAGAGGGATGGAAGATAGATACACACATGCACGCAAACATATGTGCATATATGCAAACATAGACAAATCTCTTAATGGGGATGAATTCAAACACCAATGTTTAAGTCGTTAGGCCAGTAGAGGGCTGCACTGGACAACATCTGGAAACAGTACTTAGAGCAGGTTTAAAGTACTTGAAGTTATAGTAATATAAAATAACTTTGCTTCAAGTAAGAAAGAGCTGAAAAGGACATTAAACAGCCTCACTTCACAGTTATGGTAAGAGAAGAAACCCACTGAGATGCCATGATTTGTCCAATGCCACATAGCTTATGATGACTAGAATGCAGATGCCCTAATTCTAAGGCCAAGACCTTTTTCGTTAGACCCTAAGACTTTGCTGATTTTGAGCTGAATTGAGCTTACTCCTGAAAACCTGTTTTTACACTGGGGAAAAAAAATGTGAGACTAAATTATCTTGATCCAATAAATTCATCCTCTTTTTGAGCAGTAACAATCAGCCCCACTTTTTCCATCCATCTGACCATTTAGGACTTTTTAAATCTGTAGCTTTTTAAATCTAAATCCCCCCCCCATGTCTAAATTTCAGCCTGGGCTGACCTACAAGATTGAAAGTCCTAGAGTGGTGGTCCCCGACCTTTTTGGTACCAGAAACCAGTTTCATGGAAGACAGTTTTTCCACGGACTGGAGTCGGGGGGACGGGAGGGGATGGCGAGGGATGGGGAGTGGCTGTGAATACAGAGGAAGCTTTGCTCACTCGCCTGCTGCTCACCTCCTGCTTTGCGGCCCAATTCCTAACAAGCCAGGGACGGGTGCCAGTCCACGGCCCAGGGTTTGGGGACTGCAGGCCTAGAGGACTGGAGTCTGTTCTCGACTCTGGTATATAGCACCTAGAAGAGTGCTGCTCAGGCATGTCTGACTCTGCAGACACTCATGGGTTGGAACAGAAAGGGTATATTTCACAGAACTACCTTGCACCCCCTCTGCTACCTCCAACTGCTTCTCAGCACCCTTGAGTCCACCCCTCCATTTTACACACTCTCTCTCTCTCTCTCTCTCTCTCTCTCTCTCTCTCTCTCTTCAGTCAGGATCAACCCTGACCAAACAAGTGAAGTTGCAACGACCAGTCACACCACGCCCACACTCACACAGGAAAATCACATCGACTTTCCTTGAAGCCTTTGAACTTCTTCAGTGGCTGCCCATCATTCTCTCCCCAAGGTTCACGCCCTTGTGCAGTACATTCCGCCATGCTCACCACATATACACTAACAAAAATGTGCCGCTCCTAAGTGCTATTTCCTCAGAGACGTGCTCCCAATTTTTTAAGAGGATGAATTTATTGGCGTTAAAATAAGTCTACCCGAAAGACTGCGAGTTCCTGTGGGGAAAGCCGCCACTGCCTCTGCTGGACTTTGCAACAGTCCCTTCATAGGGTTCATGCTTCAGTTTGTCACCTTCCCAGCACCCCCACTGCTGCATGATGCACACAGAGTGCCATGCAATGTTAGAAAGAACAAGATAGATCCACTGCGCTAGCATGGAAAATGTCCCCAACCCATTTTATCTGAAAAGGTCAAGTTATAGAGAAGTGTGTATAGAGTGTGTAAAAAAAAAATCTATGTAAGTATACTAAATGTCCAGAAATGCACTGTTCTATATATTAATAGTAGTCACGAACACATGTAGCTTTTTAAATCTAAATTAATTTGAATCAAGTACAATTAAAAATTCAGTCACAGTTCAAGCACTCGATAGCCACCTGTGGCTATGGCTGTATTAGACAGTGCAGATATGAAACATTTCATCCTCTCAGAAAGTTCTTTTGCACAGAGCTGGTCTACAAGGATATATACCAAACTTTTGAAATGGTTACTTTGGGAAATAAAATTGAGTTGGTTAATGGGGGAAGAGGACTTATACTTTTTACTGTATGCATTTCTACACAATTTTAATTTTTGTGATGAGAATAAACTACTTCTATAATTTAAAAATTTTTTTAAACTGGCTAAAAATTAAAATGTTCTGCAATTTATTCATTTCCAGAGACCCTAGGCCCTTAGCAAAATTTCCAGACGGTGAGCAACAGAATGATATTGTTGCTTTGTTTTCCAAATAGTCCCAGGTGGATCATCTCTCCTACACACCCTCACCCTGCTCCACACACATATCAAGTCCCCCAGAAATAGGGAGGTGAGAAAGCTGTGAGGGAAGCAACATGCTAGCAGTGGGAAAATACAAAAGAGGTATAAATAACTAGCCCTGCCCTCAAAGAACTTAGAATCCTATTAGGAAACCAGATATGCACATCAAGCAGAGAGATTAAAATAACTGATGCCACACCAATGAGAGCAACACCTAAAACATCTGGCGTTTACTATGTGCCAGGGACTATTCTAAACACATTACAAGTGGCATCTCATTTAATTGTCACAACAGCCTTTGTGAGGTGAATGTTTCAAATCCCATTTCACAGACAGGGAAATAGACCTAGGGAAATCCAGTAACTAACCCCAGATCATATGACAAATGTGCGGGGTGGTTGGGACTCAGTGCTTTGTTTCTACGGTATTCTTGGGGAAGGTGGGTATGCAAGGGAGAGTGAAGACCAGACAGGTCTGAGCAGGGCGTTCACGCTGGGCACCAAATGGAGATAACCACTCTGGTTTCTTTTCCCCAGGTAAAACGGACCATTACCAGCCAACAAAAGAGGCAAAAAGCCTTACTATCTATGCCCAAGTCCAGAAACCAGGTGTAAGTTCTATACTTTCTTTGAGATGAACCTATCATGTTTCCCATAGGATTCTTGGCCAGTCCACCTGGCATGTCTGATTTTCATGAGTTCTAGAGAAGAGCAAAGTAGGGAAGCAGGAATCATGGACAAGAGCTCTCTTGAAGGTTATGAAACTTCAGTGTCATATGGGACTGTTTATTATTTGAAACAATGGAAAACACTGTGTAATCTACTGGTGATCTGTTTCTTCATAGCAAAAAAAAAAAAAAAAAAAAAATGAGGAAGCTGGAAACACATGAGGTATAACTCCTTCCAGCTCTGGCATTCTAGGACATGATGGTCCCACATTACCAAACTCTTTTCTTTTCCAAGGAAAAGGGTTCAGGCTTGATGAGAGAGGGGAAGGTCTGGAAAAACTATGGTGTGACATGTTGGACTGATCCAAGTTTAGGCATTTGCAAAGCACAAAGGGGACAAGGAAGGAAGGATCTTGAAAATCCTGGCTACAGTGCAGTTGAAGAGATGGAAGATGATATGCAGACTGCAGGTGGAAGAACGTGAGACAGTGATAGAATGATCGTTGGACTGAGAAGAGAGGGATGGCAAAACTGGAGGCATGGTGGAATTGAGGAGCAGATAGAAGGAAGAGAGAGGGAGGCTAAAAGGATTGTAGCTGTGAAGATTTTATAGTTTTTCAGACATGAAGGCAATTCTAGGTGATTTATAGGCCAGAATCTGGCCGTTGGACATTTGGGGGATGAGGGAAGGCAAATTCTGGAGTAAAGCATGTGAAGGTAAAGACAGCTTTGATTAGCACCTTAGAAAATTGCATCAAATGACTGTAAATGCATTTCTGAGAGCCAGGAGGTTTTTGGACAAAGCTCTTATTTCTGCTGTCCCCTAGTGGCCTGGAGGGTTTATTACATAGCCCATCCTTATCCTCTCTCCCAACCAAACTCCATTTAAACAGATGAGAGTCCCAAAAGTAACCCACCCCCCACCATCTACACATTTAGGTAACCCACTTCATCTTTACCATGTTGTCTTCCCTAACTACTGCATCCCATGCTAACTACTAGCATCCCTCTTTTTTTTTCTTACTGTGAAGCATGACATATATACCAAAGTGCACAACACCATAAATGACAGCTCAATGAATTACTCTTAAGTGCACATCTTGGTATCTGGTAAAGCAAGTCTTCCCATTTTATTTTCCTCTGAGAGTTTTTAGCTATTCTTATCCCCTTGTACTTTCATATGTGTTTTAGAATCAATTTGTCAAGTACTACAAAAAAAAATCCTATTAGGATTATGTTGAATCTATAGATCTGAGGAGAAATTACATCTTTCTGTATTAAGTCTTCTAACACCATAAACTACTAGCCAGATCAAGGAAGAGAACATGGCCAGGACTTCCTGAAGACCTCCTGAGTCACTCTCCATCACTGATTCCTCTCTCCTTCCCAAAAATAACCATTATCCTGACTTCTAGAAATAGAGTTTCATGTTCCCCTTGTTTTGAACTTTATAAAAATGGAATCCTTTATTATTTTTCCTATTGTGTCTGGTTTCTTTTGCTCAATTTTACCTTTATGAGGTTCATATATGTCTTTGAACTTAGATAAAATGCATTCATTTTCATTGCTCTATAGAATATCAGTGAGTTTCTTTATCCAGTTGACTATTGATGGACATGAGAGTTATTTCTACTTTGAAGCTAGTATGAAAATTGCAGCTGTGAACATTCATACGCATGTTTTTTGGTGGATATGTTCACATATTTTTGTTGGGTATATACCTAGAAGTAGAATTGCTGAATCATAGAGCATGCATATTCTTAAATTGACTAGATAAGGCCAAACTGCTTTTCAAAGTGGGTGTACCAATTTACCTTTTTATCAGCTACATGTAAGAGTTTCAACTGCTACACATTCTAACCAAAACTTAGCATTGTCAGTCTTTTTAATTTTAGCCCTGCCAATGGACATGTCTTATTATGGTTTTATTTTGCATCCCTCTAATTATTGAGGAAGTTGAACAACTTTTCAAATGTTTATTGGCCATATTAAAATCCTCTTTTTTGAAGTACCTGTTAAATCTCTTGCACATTAATGTTTGAATTTTAGGCTTTTTTCTGAACAAGTTATGGATTCACAGAAGCTTTTTACATATTTTGGATATGAGCCTTCTGACAGTTGTATGTAAGCAAATACCTTCGCCCATCTGTGGCTTGCCTTTGCAATTTCTCAGAGATAACTATTGATAAAGAGTCATTCTTGATTTCAATGTAGAATAATTTAGTAATCTTTTCCTTTAGAGTTAGCACTTTTCATATCCTGTTTGATAAATCTTTCTGTATTCCCAGGTAATGAAAAGCTATTTTTCTTTCACATTTATACCTATTTTTATATGTGGAAATGATTTTTGAAGTATGGTTTGATAGGGACCAAGTTTTTTATTTTTTCCATATGGATATCCTATTGACCATTTATTGAAAAGATTGTCCTTGCCCAACTACAGTGTCATCTTTACCATAAATCAAGGGTCCATATATGGGGTTCTATTTTGCTGTTTTCTACTGTGCTCCATTGATCCATTTGTTAATGCTTGCAACAGTGCCATACTGTTTTAATTATAGATTTTGTTGTTGTTGTTGTTGTTGTTTTGAGACAGAGTCTCACTTTGTTGCCCAGGCTAGAGTGAGTACCATGGTGTCAGCCTAGCTCACAGCAACCTCAAACTCCTGGGCTCCAGCAATCCTGCTGCCTCAGCTTCCCGAGTAGCTGGGACTACAGGCATGTGCCACCATGCCCGGCTAAATTTTTCTGTATATATTAGTTGGCCAATTAATCTCTTTCTATTTATAGTAGAGACAGGGTCTCGCTCTTGCTCAGGCTGGTTTCGAACTCCTGACCTCGAGCAATCCACCCATCTTGGCCTCCCAGAGTGCTAGGATTATAGGTGTGAGCCACTGCTCCCGGCCTAGATTTATTATTAATATAAATTTTGATATCTGGTAAAAGGACTCTTCCCACCTGTTCTTTTTTTCTTTGTGAGAGTTCTTGGCCATTTTGGTCCTTTGTATTTTCCTATGTACTTTAGAACAAGTTTGTCAAGTCCCTGTCCACCCCCCCACCCCAAATCCTGCTGGCATTTTAATTAGAACTGCATAGATCAATTTGAGAACATGTCTCTTTATAGGACTGAGTCTTTCAATTCACAAAAAAAGATACATATCTTACTTTATTTAGGTTAGATGATACAATTGTATATAAAGAAAATATGTTTTATTTCTTCATTTGCAATTCACATACTTTCTCTTACTCTTTCTTGTCCTATTTTCCTGTTTGAGATGTCTTTTATGACGATGAATGGAAATGATAATAGTGGCATTCTCCTATAGTTCCAAACTCAAAAGGAAAGCTTTCAATATCTCACCGTTAAGTATAATATTTGCTGAAGGTTTTTTGTAGTGGCCTTTTTACCACATTAAGAATATTATCTTCTATTCCTGGTGTACTAAGATATTTTATCATGAATTGATAATGAATTTTATCAACACTCTGCATCTGTTGAGATAATCTTATGGTTGTTGTTTTTTTTCACCCTCATTTATCTGCTGCTATAGTGAACTACGCTAATTTGCAAAATTTCAGGAAATCTCCATTCCTGGAATAGAAGCAATTTAGTTTGATCTTTTTAAAATATTGCTGGATTTCATTTGCTAATATTTTGTTAAGAGACTTTTCCCCCACGGATGCTTCTGGGTGAAATGGGCCTATAATTCTTCTCTTTTGTAATGCCTTTGTAGGTTTCGATATCAAGATTATGCTAACCTCTCAACATGAGCTGGGGTATGTGTTAGTTTCCTAGAGCTGCCATAACAAATTACTACAAACTTTGTGACTTAAAAAAACAGAAATGTATTCCCTAACAGTTCTAGAGGCCAGAAGTCCAAAATCAAGGTGTCATGTTGTCAGGGCCATACTTCTTCTGAGGGCTCCAGGGGAGAAGGCTTTTTGTCTCTTGTGGCATCTGGTGGCACCAGACAATCTGGTCTTGTTGGGTTGTAGCTGCATGACCACAATTTCTGTCTCCATCTTCATGTGACTTTTCCTGTCTGTGCATCTGTGTCTTTTCCTTTCCCATCTCTTATAAGACACACTGGATTTAGAACCCACACTAACCCACAAGGACCTCATTTTGAAGTCCTTACATTAATTACATCTGCGAAGACCTTTATTCCAAATAAAGTTACATTCTGAGATTCTAGGTGGACATACTTTCTGAAGACCACAGTTCAATTCGCCATAGGATGTACTTCCTTTTTGTTATTCTCTGGAAATGTTTTGGTAGGATTGATCTTATTACTATTTCTTTCCTTAAATATTTGGCAGAATTTACTGGTGAAGCTCTCCGACCCTGCAGTTTCTCTGGTGGAGGATTTTTTAAAAACATTTTTAATCATTCCATTTTCTTTATTATATTAGTAATGAAACAACTTTTAAACAACTTTTTTCTATTCTTTTAGTGGCTACCCTAGAAATTATAAAATGCGTTCTTGACTTATCGAAGTTTAATATTTACTTCCCAAGTGTTGGCTAGCTCCTTTTTACTAAAATATAGTCGGTAAACAAGCCAAATTAGCATCACCCGGGACCTTATTAGAAATGCAGAATTTTGGGCCCCACTCCAGATCTTCTGAAACAGAACCAACCTTTTAACAAGATCCCCAGGTAATTCACATGCATAATAAAAGTGTGAGAAGCACTGGTCTAGCCCATGCCCAAGCACTTCCAGTTACAGGGAACTGCCTTCCAAAGTAATCCATCCCACATTTGAGCATCGTTTATTATTATTAATAGAAAAATCTTCACTCTGTTGAACCAAAATAGTTCCCCAAATCCTAATCTTGGTCTAACCCTGTGGGATGCTACAGAGAAACCTAATTCTGCTTCTATATGGCAATCCATCAAATAAGGAGGAGAACAATCATGTCCCACCACAAATCTTCTTTTCTCCAGTGAACTTTTTCAATTCCTTAACTTTTCCATCAGATGACAAGATTCCAAGTTCTCTGTCATTAAAACACATGTTCTGTGGTTTTGTTCTGTACCCATGGAGAGTGGAGGGCAGAATTATCCTATAACCAGCATCCCAAAGTGTGTTTAAGTGATGACTTCCCTATCATAAGTGGTGGCATTCCCATCTTACAGGGATGTGGTCTCAATTTACTCCTACTCTCACTTTGTCCTGGTATTGTGGATTTTAATTCACTCGAAGTAACATCAACAAATACCAATCAAAGGGTTTCTTATGTGCCCAGCATTGTTTTGTGAAGAATGCAAAGAAACATAGGAATCCTTAAGGAATTTACAGTCTGTTTGGAGAACACCACACAAATATATCAGAGTGTTTTAAATGCAAGGTACAGTTGCTATAATGTGTGAGTTAGGCTTTAAATACCTGAGGAATTTAGGTAAAGGATGGGTCATTGTGAAGTAACAAAAAGAAGAAGAGTAACAGAAAGAACATGACCTTTAAGTTAAAACACTTGTTGGTATTCCAGGCTTCCATACTTTTTGCATATGCACAAAGATTAAGTACTTAATCTTTTTTTTTATTTTTATTTTTTTTAGAGACAGAGTCTCACTTTGTTGCCCAGGCTAGAGTGAGTGCCGTGGCATCAGCCTAGCTCACAGCAACCTCAATCTCCTGGGCTCAAGTGATCCTACTGCCTCAGCCTCCCGAGTAGCTGGGACTACAGGCATGTGCCACCATGCTCAGCTAATTTTTTCTATATACATTTTTAGTTGGTCAATTAATTTCTTTCTATTTTTAGTAGAGACAGGGTCTCGCTCAGGCTGGTTTTGAACTCCCAACCTTGAGCAATCCACCTGCCTCGGCCTCCCAGAGTGCTAGGATTACAGGCGTGAGCCACCGCGCCCGGCCGTACTTAATCTTTTTGAGCTTTAGCTTCTTCATCTGTAATGTATGAATAACAACAATATTTAACATATAGAGTGGTTGTGAGGCAAATGAGGAAACGTGCATTAGGGTGAGGAACAGCAGAAGCAGCAGTGTGGGACGGAGCGAGCTCTGCATGTAGCAGGCGATGAGTGAGACAGACCAAATTCTAATAAGAGCCTGCCCCCTTCAGCTGCTCGGGTAAGAGCCACACCAGGTTTGGTTTGCTGGGACAAAGACCTTTAAAACACAGTGCTAACAATGAATGGGGCTGCTTGGGAGGCTGTGAGCACCAAGATGTCACTCGGGGAGTCCAAGCAAAGCCTGGAGAATTGAGTTCCGGGGAAGCTGGAGGAGAATTCTCTCCCCTGGAAGGAAGTTAAATCAAGCGACCCCAAGGAACTTTCTAACTCAAGGCTTCTCCGTGGGGACATTTGGATGGGAACTAGCTCTTTGTTCGGCTAACCTGCTTTCTTTGCTTCTCTTATAGACTCTTCAGAAGAAACCTGACCCCCTCCCAGCTCAGAACCCCTGCACTACCATCTACGTTGCTGCCACAGAACCTGTGCCCGAGTGTGTCCAGGTGAGGCATCTCTGTGCCTCCTCTCTGTACAGAGGGAACATGTGGAGGAGGGGAAGAGGAGGAAGTTTTTGTTTGTTTTTGTTTTCATGTAGAAATGAAAGGAAACAGAGTCCCGGACTGGGGAAGGTAGGCCACAGCAAGCTGTCAGCACAGAGGATGCGTGGCCTTGGTTTTAGGGTTTCCATGAAACCCCTTACACCTGCTCACAGGGGGGGGTGACAGCTCACTCCCTAGGGCTAGTGTTTCTCTGAGGGTTGTCCAAGGACCACATCAAAATCAGCTGGCATGCTTATTAAAAATAAGGATTCCTGGGGCCGTGCATCTAAGATTCTATTAAATCACTGTGGCTATGAAGAGTACCCAGGGATCTACGCATTAGAAAGCAACATAGCCCAGGTCACTGTGATGCACACTTAAGTTTGGGGATCCCAGCTTGAGTCCAGGAATTCTCACCTCCAGCTGCAAAACAGAATTGCCACTGGAGTTTTGTGAAAACGTCCTTGCCTAGACTCTATTCACGCCCATTTAATCAGAATATTCAGGGGTGGAGCTCAGCACGGGTGTTAAGCCTGGAAGAGAACATGAGGTGCAGCTGGGAATGAGACCCACCTATTCTACCCCAGTACAAAATCCCCACGAACTAAGCTTACTTGTGACAGGCATATCTCTGTCACTAAATGAATAGAAATAAATTCAGAGCTGAACTCTTGGCTCTTTTAGGGGACAGCCCAGGATTATAGAGGCACAAAGGTCACAAAAACGTCTACATCCACCTGTCTTCTTCAAAGTTCCTACTGCACACACACCCAGAAATGCCTGGGCGGGCGCCTCGTTTTAAGATGCAATAGACCCTCAACGCGAGGTGTATGCTCAGTACGTTGTCATATCTGAGAGGAAAGTGAAAATATAAACCCGACGTCAACTGCCTTAAACTTTAAATAACGTAGACTTTTAATGAAGTCTACTTGGGGAAGAAAATGTTATGGTTTACGTTGTAAATTCCCCGTTCCCTTTTCTTTCTTTTTCTGACCCCCTCTCCCTGGGAGAGATCTCTGTGCACAATCCTCTTCTTCTCCCCTCCCTGCCTGTCTTCTGCTGGTACCACTTCTACCCTCTCCTTTGGGTCTTGCTCGCCCTTTTTTTTTTTTTTTTTTTTTGAGACAGAGTCTCACTTTGTTGTCCAGGCTAGAGTGAGTGCCGTGGCGTCAGCCTAGCTCACAGCAACCTCAAACTCCTGGGCTCCAGCAATCCTCCTGCCTCAGCCTCCCAAGTAGCTGGGACTACAGGCATGTGTCACCATGCCCAGCTAATTTTTTTCTATATATATTAGTTGGCCAATTAATTTATTTCTATTTATATAGTAGAGACAGGGTCTCACTCTCGCTCAGGCTGGTTTCGAACTCCTGACCTCGAGCAATCCTCCTGCCTCGGCCTCCCAGAGTGCTAGGATTACAGGTGTGAGCCACCGCGCCTGGCCTGCTCGCCCTTTTTAAATCTCAATAATTTAGAACCCCCTTGGCTTCTCCAGATTGTGTCCCCATGAGTAACAGCAAGGCAACTGGTTCTCCTTACAAGGAAAGGGAAGAGAAGGGAACAGAAGGAAAGGGGAAGGGGAAGGGGAAGGGGGAGGGGAAGAAGAAGGGGGAGGGGGAAGAGAAAGGGGGAGGGGGAACAGGATGGGAAAGAGGAAGGGAAAGGGAAGGGAAGGTCACTGAGGATAGGTCTCCTTGACTCCCTGATGCTCTGGCCCTCACAGGAGCAGGGCAGCAGTCTGGGGACCTGAGGGCTGCCCCAGCAAGGCCCCATCTGTGACAGACCCCGAGACAGTCACTAAGCTGCATGATGTCTGAGACCCTTTCCTCAGCAGTGCCGTTTCCGCCTGCAGCCTCTGACGCTAGTGCTGGGTCCTTCCACTCACAGGCTTCTTCTGCTTTGCCCCCAGGAAACGAACCCCATCACAGTCTATGCCAGTGTGACGCTTCCAGAGAGCTGACACCAAAGACTCAGTAAAGGGACTTTCTGAAAGAAAATAGAAGAACCAAAATAAACACTGAACTTGGACCCAGGCTCCGAGTTCCCTGTGACAGACACTCTACACATCTGCACCCTTCCTGGATCAACTCCCTGGTGATGGTTCACATGCGTCTGCGACATAGACAAGGAAGCCTGGCTCCCAAGCATTTAGCCTGCTCTGCAGTGGGCACGGCCACAGGACAGAGAGCTACTCGATACAGCCTTCCAGCTTTGCCGTGTGGCAGACGAAACGGGTAACGTGAACCCAGGCTTCCGGCATCCTGCTCTCTGCTGGAACTAGATAATGAAAACCAAAGACAGAAATCCAGGACATCTGGTGCCTGTCTCAGACTGCCGAGCACCAGCCACACAGTGGGGAAAAGCTTACATTTTGGCTGTCTTTACTTTATTCTGGGAGTTGATCCTGATGACCCGCAGTCCCGCAGACCTTGATCAAGGCTCTGTGCCTCGGTTTCCCTTTCTGATGAAAGGTGAAAGAAGGTAGACAGTGAATTTCTTATTATATGTAAAACATCTCTGAGATTTCCTAAGAAAGAACGCTAAGTGTCATTATATTTATTTGCAAATCCCAGAAGCTGAAGAGCTAATAAACGAAGAATGACTTTGAGATCTCTGAGCTTTGAACAATAGAAGGAAACCATCTATGATTCTAAAAAGTAGAGTTCTGGCAAATAGCATTTAGTTAAAAAAAAAAAAAAGTAGCCAAGTATTTGGGGTATTGTTACAAGGGATGTGAGATACTCAGAAGAACTTATCCCAGAGTGATTTTTCACTTCCCAAAAAGATCTTTAAATCCTAGTCTCGGCCGGGCACCACCGTGGCCACGCCTGTAATCCTTGCACTCGGGAGGCGGAGACGGCGGATTGCTCGAGGTCAGGAGTTTGAAACCAGCCCGAGCAAGAGCGAGACCCCGCCTTTACTATAAATAGAAAGAAACTAATAGGCCAACTAATATATATAGAGAAGAAAAAATAGCCGGGCATGGTGGTGCATGCCTGTAGTCCCAGCTTCCTAGGAAGCTGAGGCAGGAGGATTGCTTGAGCCCAGGAGTTTGAGGTTGCTGTGAACTAGGCTGATGCCACGGCACTCACTCTAGCCTGGGCAACAAAGCTAGACTTTGTCTCAATAAATAAATAAATCCTGGTTCTCCGTTTACTCCCTTGAACAATGAACCTGGAGCCTCTGCTAAGGCCGTCTGGTTCTGAACCACTTTTACACACAGAGCCTCACAGTGTATTGCAGGTCAGCTGGTCTCTTCCTACTTTTGCATACCTCTCCTCACACGAATTTCGCTTTGAGTAGCAAATTAAGTTAGTTTGGCCTAACAGCTCCAAATGATTGAGTGTTCAGTAACTTAGTTAAGTAACTTTGTTTGCAGGCTGCAAGCAGAAAGAGGCTCTTTTAGTAAATTTCGATTTCTTCCTATTCTCTGCTTTCAAACAGCCCATCTTCAACGTAAGCTCTTCTTATTGGTCCTTGCATAACCCCGGTGAACTCTGTAAGAAATAACCACCGTACCATTGCGTAACAAGGGGCACCAATTTCCCAGCTCAAAATTCCGGGGTCGTCATTGCCTTGTGTCTTGCTTCCTCTATGCCGTCGATTCACAGTTCAGGTTCTGCTGCCTAGTGCATCTCGTTTCCTGGTGCCAGCTTCTGTAACAGGGCTCTCAGCTGCAGTCAACAGAAACTGACTTTGGATTTTTTTATATGTAGGAAAGGAACTTATTGCAAAGATATTGGTTGGTTTGAATGACTGCTAGGAGGTTCTACAAAACTGTGCTTTGAACGTGAGCAGGGAAAAGGGAGACTAAACTACGCCTGGGACCACAGCCAAAATTACAAAACCGGCCCAGGGATGACAATCCAGAGCCCCACAGTTGCACAGCCACTGTCTCTAACACTAGGCACAGACTCCACTGCTGCCTCACTGCCTCTGCTGGACTTGGAGACTTGAAATTACTGTCGCTGCTGCACTGTCTGCCACCAAAACAAACTCTCCCGGGTCCCTTCCTCATCTTTTCTTTCTTTTTGTTTTTGTTGTTTGTTTGCTTTTGAAATTTTTATTTATTTTTTTGCTGGTCCAGAGAAGCAGTGGGAGTGGAGAAGGAACAAAGGAATCTGTAACTGGTTGTGAGCTTCCTTATCTTTTCATCTCTAGTTCTAATTCCAAGTCTGGGACTGAGGGACTAATCCTAGGTGCCACATCCACGCACTACCTCCAAGGGAGGCTGGGAATTGATATCTGGCATTTCCCACATTCATAGTGGTTGGGAGACTCTCTGCCTGTTATGAGTTGAATAGAAGAAGTGGCGTCCAGGTTGGGCAGGCAAAAACTAACACGTCCACTACACCACCTTGTGTACCCTTACACTCACTGGCTATCTATTCTCAAAACTGTGGAGCTACTAACAGGAATTTGTGAATACTCGGGTTTTGAGCACTCGGGTTTTTTGTTTGTTTGTTTTTGTTTTTCTACAACTCAGATTTCTATAGAAGCTTAGTTCCCAACACTTGGGTTTTTCCTGTGGCTGAATTCTACCTAACAGAAGGACAGAAACAAATGGGGAAGAAGATGCCACCCCTTCAAAATTTCCCGAATCCTTAGATGCAAGAGCTCGCCGGGGAGAGAAACTGTGTCTCAGAGGGAGTCTTTCAGGCCACCCACCAAACCACACTGGACATTATTTCCCGCACTCCTAGACGCTGGGTTACAGGTGGGAAAGCAGAGGACCCCTTCTGCTGCTCTTGCCACTTTTCAGTTGTTTCCAAATGGCACTGTGGGTGAGCATGCGCTTGCCTTTTCCTTAGGCTTAAAAAAATAAAACAGAGACTTTAGAGTCTGATTTCCCCATGTTCCCCTCTAATGTTGTTTTATTTTGACCAAGCATATCTGAATTCTGGGGAAGTCAGGAGGAACAGGTCCATTTTCGGTTTTAAGGGACTGATGTTCTAAAATACAACTGGGCGTGGTCCCAGGCTCCTCAGGACACTCTCAGTCATGCAACCCGGATGTGAGTATTACTCGATGCTGCTGAGAAGCCAATAAGTTTACTCTCCTCCTGAAATGTATGTTTCTACTTCTTGGAAATGAATAAATTATAGCCAATCCATCAAGGAAATTGCACTTTTGTCTTGTGTTTCCTAGAGGATTGATAACAAGGCAGTATGCCAAGACATGTCACCTGGCCTTGTGCCTCCACACCCATAAGTTAGGAAACCCTGAAGGGAGCTGATTTGATCAGATGAGCTGCGAGGTTGTCCCTTCCTAGAAGGTGGATAAGGATTAGCCAGGTGTCCACTTTACCAAAGGTCAGGCACCACCCTCTGTGCGGGAAAGAGAACTGTGTTTAAAGGATTATTTAAAATTTTTTGCCACTGCCAGAGTAATCCCCTTCCCTGAACTTCCCCAACTTCCCCTTGTGGAGAAAATCTAGAGCAAGGTTTCTCAACTGCAGCACTATTGACATTTTGGGCTGGGTGTTTAGCCCCTCATCCTTGGCCTCTGCCCACTCGATGCCATAACACGTGTCCTGCCCTTGCTCATGACAGTCAAAAGTGTCTCCAGACACTGTCAAATGTCCCTTGCTGGGAAAAATGTCCCCCAGTGGAGAACCACTGATCTAGAGATATGCTGGCCCCCTAGTAAGCCTTGAAAAGACTAAATACAGGCCGGGCGCGGTGGCTCACGCCTGTAATCCTAGCACTCTGGAAGGCCGAGGCGGGTGGATTGCTCAAGGTCAGGAGTTCGAAACCAGCCTGTGCAAGAGCAAGACCCTGTCTCTACTCAAAATAGAAAGAAATTAATTGGCCAACTAAAAATATATAGAAAAAATTAGCCAGGCATGGTGGCGCGTGCCTGTAGTCCCAGCCACTTGGGAGGCTGAGGCAGGAGGATAGCTTGAGCCCAGGAGTCTGAGGTTGCTGTGAGCTAGGCTGATGCCACAGCACTCACTCTAGCCTGGGCAACAAAGTGAAACTCTGTCTCAAAAAAAAAAAAAAAAAAAAAGACTAAATACACTTCTATATACCAAGAAGTTGCTCTATCAAAAATCCTATTTTGAAAGTGACCACCTGATCACTTAAGCATGGCCCAAGCCTGCCAATATTTCCAAGGTTACCAAAATATCAGAATTACCTGAGTAGCTTTTTCAAAATAGTGGTGTCCAAATCCAATCTCAAACCCAAATGAAATCTAGGTTGAGATCTATAGAACCACCATCCTAGAGATTAAAAGACAGAAAGGATTTTGTCGTGAGTTCCTCACAACAGCCACGAGAGGGCGATGTAGCAATACATTCCACCCTCCCCAAGCTCCCCGCCACCGCTTCACCGCATCTAAAAGCTGTGGAATTAGTCACAGACTCGCTAAAACTGTGGCTGGATTCTCATCGGCTCACAGCACTTCCAGGCTGGAAGGAGAGTTGCCACCTCTCCTTACAGATAAGGAGGCCCAGTGTGCGTTGATGACAAGTTCTAAAAAAGGGTAACTGCAATTAAGTTTATTTCTCAGCAATTGAGTTCTACTCGATGCTTCTCTCAGTCAACAAATAGTTATTAAGTTCCTACTAGATGTTTGACCCTGTCACCCAGCAGGAGATACAGAGAACGCAGGCCACTAAAATATTATGACAGGTGGGTCACTGCATGATCTACTGGGATCCCCTGGAAAATAAAAGCAGATGCTATTAATAATTACACAGGGGCAATGGCTGGGATATATAGTGACCTTAATGACAGAGGAAGTGAGGGGTCTTCGGTAAGCACATGGGGACTGTACCTAACATTAGGAATAAAGAAGATAAGTTCATTTTAGGTAAAATAAAAAAAAAAATAAAAAATTTGAAGTGGCAATGGAAATGAAGTAGAAAATTTCCATGAAGTAGCTAGAGATGAAACAGTGTAGCTCAGATTTAAAAAAATAGAATCAAGGCATAAGAGTCACCATCACTATAGTCACACTTTGAGGCTGACACCAGGGACAAAGAAAAGGCAGAAAGAGAAAAGGCAGGCCATTGATAATGCTATACGCACATTTAAAAGACAGAAGAGTTTACAACACAGTCAAGGATGTAGATAAGATCACTG